TAAACAAAAAAACCGACTAGAGAGATAAGAACCACGGCAACGCAAGACGAACACAAACAACAAGAAAACGCTCATACCGCTGCCAACTTTCACTAAAATACATTAAATGCCACGAAAGACAGCGAGATTGAGACCTTTTCCGCTTTTCCAGAGATCCCAGCCCAACACCATAAGAGATCATTCCAACAGCTAAAAATGCAATTTATTTGAAATGACGAGAACAGATTATCCATAAGCAACTCCTAAGGCTTGCAACGACCGGTGTAACGAGGGTAGAGACAGACATCACGAATGTGGTTTTGACCCAGCATCCAAGTGCAGAAGCGTTCAAAACCAAGGCCGTATCCACCATGTGAACAGGTCCCAAATTCACGCTATATGTAAAAATTCAACTCATAGAAACCAAATGAGAAGGATAAAAATGCTATAATAATAAATTTCCACTCACCTGTTGCGTGTACCAATAATAAGGTGCAGGATCAATGCCTTCGCGTTTGTACCCTTCCATAAGGTCGTTGTGGTCGATCATCCTCATTGATCCTCCCACAATTTCGCCTACCCCAGGCAGTAAGAGATCGACTGACTCCGTCACACTTGGATCCCCTTTGACACGTTGCATGTAAAAAGGTTTCAATACGGTGGGGAAGTTTGTCATTAGAATGGGGCAATTTAGTTCGTCAGTCAATTTGCGTTCGGGCAATTCTGGGATGTCATCGCCAAACACAAAAGGTTTATTATTCTCTTTGAAGATGTGCCTCTTCTTGAGCTCTGTTAATGCCTGACGATATTCCAGACGCTTAAAAGGTTTCTTAGGAAGCTGGAATTCCTGAAAACAAAAGGGAGAAAATTAACAAAAAAAATTTATCGGAGGATAGATATAGAAAAGGACCTACGTTATTAATCTCACGAACTAGGTCACCAGCCTGCTGCATTACACGCTCCGAAACGTCAACAACAAGATCCTCGATTTGGTTGAGGAGATCATTAAACTCTATAAATGGCGACTCAGCCTCTATATGGACGTACTCCGAGAGATGACGACGAGTACGGCTCTAAGTTGGGAAAAAAGATATGATAATAAGCAAAATCAACAGTGTTGGAATCTTGGAGACTGCCGCCACAACGTAAAGGTAGCAAGCAGTACTATGAGAAACCAGCGATTTTCATCTCGCTTGTTTTCTGCTAACCAGACATTAACCAACGCCTGGCCGGTTTACAAGCTGACAGGGGGAGAAAAAAATCTGTTGGTAGCATAGCCCACGGTAAATCTACCCAGTACTATTGCTTGCTGTCATACAGAATGTCCCCGACAATCCGTTTGGTAGGCAAGCTGATGCAGTACGAATTCCCAACTAGTCAGCTATCTTAATTACTAGAGGTAACATCGGTTCCTGCTCTAAGGTACCAAAGATATTCTATCCTATCGGGATACTAAGGTCCCTTAAAGATAATTCCCGCCAATTAAATAGCAACCAGCACCTATTCCTCACGCCTCATGTGCACACCAGAAACGAGATTACAGGGACATGACTACAACCAAATAGAAATCTACTTTACATAAAGTGGGACACTAAGATGGATGCGCAATACCAAGGCTGGGAGATAACACGGAATAAGCCACAACTCAGGTAGAAAACTCGCACTCTTTGGGAGTCTAACAAGCGCGACCTCACCTTTTCAGCTCGATAGCTGCGAACCATACAATAGCAGTCGCCAACGGCGGGAATACACGTCTCCAAGTAAAGCTGACTCGACTGCGTCAAGTAGGCCGGCTCACCAAAATAATCCAGCTTAAAGAGTGTTGAACCTCCCTCCACTTGGGTTTGCACCAGAGTTGGGGGATGGACCTAAGGGAAGGAATGCCTAAACAGATGGCCTCGGTTAAGCTCAATAAACTTTAGACATCACTCGCTCACCTCAACAAATCCGCGATCTTTGTAGTGCGCGCGAAATGCATCCGCAATTATGGCTACCAGCCTAACAATTGTGTATCCTTTGGTGTTGCGAAGCATGAGGTGGCGTTGGTCTAACTGCCAATCCACCTCTGATTGGTCCGTAACAACAGCTTCAACACCGCCCGCAGGAGCTTTTCCAATGCACTCCCAATAATCCACCTGTACCTCCAGGTCTCCTGGAGCCTTCTGACCAGCTGGAACCTTCGAGACAGTTCCTTTAACGAAAACTGATGATTCCGTGGAGAGTGTTAGCCCATCGGCTGTGCGAGACAAGTCTCCTGTGAGAAGACATTGCAGAAGTCCAGTGCCATCGCGCAAGATAATAAACATAAGTTGCTTGCTTTGACGGCGAATCCTGTGAACCCAACCGAAGACTTGGACTCGCTGACCGATAAATTTACTCAAATCGCGGATCTTCGCGCGACTAGCAGCAGGTAGACTCGTGTCTTCTGTGATTTCCACTGCGTTCTCGGTGGACGGAACAACTGTAGAGGTTTGATTTCCCGCTTTGTTAAGCGACAACCTATAGCTTTTGTAGGCTTTTTTAAGACGAGAATGAGGAATAGGAATCCACTCGTCTGTATTGGGGTCAACTACGTATATCTTCTGGTTCATTATATCTTCGAGTCTTAAGGTTTGGAAAAGACGACGAAGAGTCTTGAACGGGGTCTTCAAAGACCCGTCCCCGAGAACATCGTCCCCTGACTTTTCGGAGACGTAGTGCCCAGGTACGTCTAAAATATTAAAGGCAAAGGTTATAGAAAATGATGAATGCCAATTTATTCACAATTTCAAAAAATGCATCGGAATAAATAGAAAACAATCAAAAAGCGCGAAAGTACCGTCTGGCGAAGGCAAGCGAATCATCACGCGGATGACCACACTAATTACAGAGGAACCGTACTGAGTTAAAACAAATTCTAAAAATTGCGACTACTGTCTCAAACTGTATAATTTAAGATTATGAGCAACGATGTTAGCTACCAAAAAACAAGTATTATAGTTTAAGTTGTTAGCAATGATATTAACCTTGTAAGCGCAAATATTTGCCAATTTTTGCTAGTAATCTTTATCTTCACAAAGGGCACGCATTTTTATAAAAGTGTTATAGCACGTGATGCAAATCAAAAAAGACTTAATAATACATGTTATGTCTTGTCAGTTTGCCTTTTGAAGCAGCTCTTCAATGTATTTGGAGACAGCCCCGACGACCAACATAGTCAACTCCGCACAGGATATCGCACTTGGTACCTTGGTTACTCATCTAAATGTATGGTTGGCGATTACCATGGTGGTCATCTTGATTTTGACTGTGTTGGCCTCCTTGCGGGTTAAGCCAAATCCTAACTTTTTCCACTTCTCTGAACACAAGTAGTGCACGTAACTAATGCCTACTGTTATCGAATGGAAACCCCGAAGACGTCAAGCTGATAAAGAGTGGAAGCACCGTTCCCGGTGCTGACCAGTGGAATTCCATCGGACGAATACTCTTTTTCGGATACCGTATAGACTTCGTCTTCGTAACCTACTGGCCTAATCTTGTTATGGCGTACTGTTTGAGGCCGAGTAACGATCTCCGCATTCCGAATGAGATAATTCGTGGACGGCAGGAATTTGATTATCCGGTAGGGTTCCTTGCTCCAGGGATGATAGAATTTCTGATCGGTTCCTGGCGGGGGA